AAGCCCGGCGAACGGGTGAATTTCGCATGTCAGGGGCCGAGCGGTGGCCATTGCACCTTGCATAGGATTATACACTGACCAACCCCAGTCCGGCTTCTCCTCGGCGGCTCTGTTGTGTTATCGGCGACTATTCGCGCTAGTTATAGTGTTAAAAAAAGACAATAAAGAGAAAAAAGACGAGAGGGGGACACAGACATGAGGAGCTGTTGATTAGTTGAAGACAGATGGCGCCTTGCAGTGAGGGTGCTGCGCGCGCGTGGACACCGTCGGCCGCGAAATACAACAGTGTCTCACGTGTATGTGTTGTGACGTCACGGTGTTGACAGTGTTCACGCCATCAATCCCGGGACGCGGCCGCCTCGTGGCTCCTTGTATACCGACCGCCTTGATGAGCCGCCACCCGTGTGGGCGCCGCAAGCAAACAGGACAAGATAAAACAGCCCAATTAACCACGGTGCAAACAGGCATTCGTCTCTGAGCAGTTGTTAACGATAAGGAGTAACCACCCTTAGTCCATTCGTCCTTGTTTGAAGTAATTAATGAATGGGGTTTAGTTGTAGTCCTATGTTAGAAATACACAGTGGGTGAATGCACGCTTCAGGTTAAAAATTTTCTTGCCAGCCATGACAGTGCGGGTTCACTGATCTCGCACTCTCTCGTTCTTGGGCTTTCTTTTGCCTCGTGGTTCATCGCGTTCGTTTCATTTCGGTTGCTGAACGCGTGAAAATCCCCCCTCCCCCCCTTTTTTTTACAGTAAGACATTGCAATTTCGTTTTTTTCCCGGTCGGCAGAATCCCGGTTCTTTTTTTTTTCCCCCAGCCACATCGCCGAATTTCAGGATGTATTTTATGTTCATCGTAAATCAATCACCCGTGATTAATGCCGCTACAGAGGACACTCAAAAACCAATATGGCCACCGTTAATTAAATTTTCCGGTTGGTTTTATGGTATCACGTACAGTGGTAGTCCTTCCCTTCATTCAGCAGTGTGCACGTGATCCAGGTAATTGTTCCCTTAAATAAGAAATTGAAAAAACTAAAATAAACCATATGTTCCATACTCATTGGCTCCACATGATAACAAGTGCTAGAAGATTATACTAGAGTTAAAACGTGATAGTTCCATAGCCATTGACTTAATCAAGACAAGAACAGTATTTATTTAAAGATTATACAAAGGAGATACAAGCATGATAGCCTAAACCTTAGAGCACAAGACAACCGCCAGTCGAAGTGCCGCGTCCACCTCCGTCAAATAATTGGACAGACTGTAGGTTAGGCAGTCCTTCGCGAGTCTCGAGATCTGAGGAGAAGATATAGGCCGACTCGACTCGACTCGACTCGACCGGTCCGTACTCCCGGTTCCCGAGTAAGAACTAACTCGTCTGACAGCATCTTTACTCCGGGCCGTCCGATGGGGGAAATCTGCGGAGGTTGGTGGAAGGGGCTCTGTGGTAGTCCTGCTGTGGAGTGGGTTTATTTATTTTTGTTATTTATCGTCGAGGTTAGGAAGGGCTGTCGTTGTTGATAGATAGGGAACAGTTGTTGTAATTTAAAAGACATTCTGAGTCTATAAAAAAAAAAATGTGGGGTGGATTACATTGTGTGTGTGTGTGTTTCAGTGTCCTTTTCAGCCCCACTGGGCACCGCCGTACCCATCTATACCCAGCAAACCGTTGGCCTTCGTCCCGCACGCCCCTCGCCTCCCGCTGCATTTCCTCCTGATTGGCTTCTTCATATGCTAATGGTCTTTTTGCTGCTGGGGGACAGGGCGAGCTCCCCCGTGCGTTCACACGTGCCACACTTGACGCTCTGGCTCAGGGGCTTCGGGAAACTGTTGTAATATTATTCGAGCCTTTTGTCAAGTCTCGTTTGTTATAGGATAAAATCGACCAGCGTCACTCCTCCCCCCCCCTCTTCTTTCCTTCTCTCTCTCTCCTCTCTCTCTTCTCTCTCTCTCTCTCTCTCTCTCTCTCTCTCTCTCTCTCTCTCTCTCGGGATAAACTTTTACCGGATTAGAGTAAAGTTCAAGTATTCTGACAAGATTATATATTCCAAAGAAAAAAGAACCGAGCAATAGTAATCCTAATGAAGATATTGCTCGTAACAAATGTCATAATGAGAAATATTGCTTTAGTGATTTCCTCTATTAAAATCCACCCAAAGAACCCCAAAAACGTGTATCAGGGACTAGGTCTCGAGAGCAGGAGGTTAACACAGAGGGCGTTCTGTGGTGTGGGAGTGTGTGTGGTCCTGCCTTCGAGGGGTGTGGGACGTCTGGGAGGCTGTGTGTTCCTTTTTCCTTGTATGGGGATCGTCTATCGCCTGCAATTTCAAGGGTGGCTCCTCATAGGTCTCGCAGGGTCGTCCTAATAACCGAGTGGTCCTTAAGCTTGATGTGGCGAGTAATGGTTCTTGGGGTTCCCGTGTTTTTTTTTTTTTTTTTTTTTTTTTTTTTTTTTGGGGGGGGGGTGTAATTATATGCACGGGTTTCTTTTTCTATCTCGTGTTTTTTTTCTTTTTCTTTCTTTCTCTGGGTTTTTTTTTTTTTTTTCTCCCTTCTTTTTCTCGTTCCTCTCTCTTGTCTTTCTCTTCGTTAACCCTGTGTCATTCTTTTTCTCTCCCTCTCCCTCCCTCTTTCCTCTCCCCTTTCCTTTCCCGAGTCTTTCTCCCTCCCCCTCTCCGTCATGTATACATCACGTCTCTTCCTTCTCCCTGCGATCAAGTTTCGTTAGCCTGGACGTCTCTCTCCCTCCCTTGAGGCGTAAGTTGGTAAATACGGGCGAAAGCTATACCCGAGCACACCTTCCCTGGCCTGGAGGGGTCCCGCAGACAGGTGTCAACACCCACGGTGCTGCTCCGGGCGATCTGCATTCACACGGCGCCGACAGGCTGTATCTCATTTACCTTCTTCGTCTGAGGAAACACTTTAAAAAACATATATTCCGCGAGGCCTAAGTGTTGATAGGGAGATCCTGGGAGGCGGCGAGGGCGCGGGTCGATGACGCCTATCTCGGAGGCCCAGTAACGAGAGGTCCTTCTCCAGATAATCGCTATCGTGTCGCACTTGCCGTGGGAACGTCGACCGGTCCTCACATACGGCGGAGTTGTCTGAAAAAAGTGACCAAGTGAGAATGAGTTTTATCAGACTGCCGCAATACACACTCGAGTCGCGACGGCGTGCCACTAAAGGCTTCGAGAGCGCTGCAGCGGGTGTAGACAGTAGCTTAACCACATGCAGGAGGGCGTGGGCATATATGGCGTTTCGGGAATACGAGCCTCATGTCCCTAAACAGAAACGGAGGATAAAAGTGCGTCGACTTCCTTATAAGGCCAACGGACCTTACGCGGCGCTGACCAGAAGACCAAAGTCATCACAGACCACGACTGTCATGCCCGACCAGCATTTCCTTCGTCGCCTCGCGCTAATGCATGCCATAATATCAAAATTATTTGCCTCGATGAATGGAGAGAAAGGCGGTGTAAGATACCAGGGCCGATGGACGCGTATGGCTGCGATAACGAAGATTGGGCGAGGGAACTTTCTTTGCCTTATTCAGAACGTTGACCGTGTGTGTGTGTGTGTGTGTGTGTGTGTGTGTGTGTGTGTGTGTGTGTGTGTGTGTGTGTGTGTGTGTGTGTGTGTGTGTGTGTGTGTGTGTGTGTGTGTGTGTGGTGTCGAATATATATATAAAACTTTTCGACATCAGTTATAATAATGAATCAGTTATAATAAATTTCAGAACAGTGTGTGTGTGTGTGTGTGTGTGTGTGTGTGAGACAGACAGACAGACAGAGAGATAGACAGACAGTGATAAAGAGAGAGCCTCGGCGAAGATTAATAACATCATCATCGGTATTTGCTGAACGGAAAAAGAAAGTCCGAGTAATTAGCGTCCTCCGTACGAGAGGTTTGGGCAGCGTGTAATCAGTGTCGCCGAACCATTACATCAAAACAATTCTCTCGATATCCGTAACTTCCCTTCTGGCTCTTCGCTTAGCCGGAGGTCTGGTCTCGCCGTGGGTATTGCGACCTCTGTAGAAGGAGGGCCTGTGTCACCTGTGGTTCTCCGCGGCACCGGAAGTAGGGTGAGCGACGGAAAGTGTGTCTCGGGTCATTGCGAACAAATCACGACCCGTCAACCCCCTTCCCTTTTCTTCTCTTCCCTTCCCTCCCCTTCAATTCCTTTCCCGTCCCTTCCTTTTCCCTCCTTTCTCTTTCTTTTTCTTTTTTTTCATTTCTCTTCTCTTCCTTTCTCTTCCCTTCAATCCCTCCCTCCCCTTCCCCTTTCTCTCCCTCAATTCCTCCCTCCCCTTCCCTCTCCTCTCCCTCTCTCTCCCTTCCCTCCTCTCTCCTCTCTTCCTCTCTCTTCTCCTCCCCTCCCCTTCCCTTCCCTTCCCTCAGTCCCTTCATTTCACTTTCTTTTCCTTTCGCTTAGCTTCTCAGACTCCACCTCCTCCGCCATATGGCTGAGAGGTGTTCGGAGACGTTTTCCCCGGTCTTCGCCAAGGTTACTCTGGTTGCAAACCACCCAAAAGAAACAATAGTGGGAGAGAAAGTTCCGTTGAGGGGGAGCGAACATTGTTTTCCGCGATTTAAGCAGTTTTGTTACATAACGAAAATAAGTGTTAGTGGGGCGTCATTGCTCAACCCTTGGGTAAGCTGCCAGAGTCGAATAAAAAAATAAAATGAAAGAAAAGAGAGAAAAAAAAAGAGCGTAGCGTCTGGGCCGAGAGTGAAAAGACCTGAAGAGTAACACCTGAGTCATCCTCCTCCTCATCCTGATCCTCCTCCTTCTCCCTTATCCTCCCTGATCCTCGGGGCGGTTCGCTTGCCCTCGCCCGCTCTCTCTTTCTCTCTCTCTCTCTCGTGTTTCGTTGACGCCCACGCTTGGTCACGCCCTCGTACGCCCTGACGACTTTTAGGATGTCAGGTGAGGTCCAGGTAAAGAAGCCTGGGCCGATCTGTCCTATCTCGGAGCTTGCTGGGGGGGGGCGTCGGGGCGTCGGGGAGGGAGAGGCGAAGGATCCCAAGCCGCGCCTGTTGGGAAATGAGGAATTAATATCTCCGCGGAACTAGGTATGCGTGAATTTGACGAATTAATTGCAGAGGTATCATGCTTGTTCGTGGAGACAGAGGGAGAGGAAGTGGAGAGGCAAAGGGACAGGGAGCTGCCCTGCGTGGGTGTTTGGGCTCCGCAGGCAGTGGGATTTATATGGCAGGGGGCAGGGAGGGGGAGTTTGGGCACCCGGGGGAGTGAGGAGGGGTGGGGGGCGCAAGCAGGAGGTGGGGAGCTAAGCTGGGCGTGACGTCAGACCGGCCAGCGGATTTTGGGCGGGAATATCACGCCATGCTTGCTTTACGATCCGAGGGCAGCCAGTGAGGCGTATCTGCATGAAAAAAGACAAATAGACTTTAGGGTCGGATGATGGAGGTTGTGGTTCGGAGAGCGGGTGCAAGTCTAGTAACAGTGAAGTCGTTTCGTGTCGCGAGGGAAAGGAAGACGAATGGGTGATTTCAACGCTGAACAAGGGATAACCCGGCATCAGAAGAACGTAATTACTTCATGATTGAGATGAGATGCGTATGGCCCTCTGCCTGACTCGTCTCAATTACCCACATGGCCCCGAGTGACAGGGCGTGGACGCTGGCCATTCGCCGTATATGGAGTCCCCGTATTCCCATGCATGCGGGTTCCATTATAAGTCTCGTTAGCGAGGCGTTGACATGACACGGGAACATATCTTGACAGAAAAGGAAAGCCGGCGACGTGATGACGTGTGTATTCCTGTGGCGTTCACGATTGCTCCGTTATTTGCACGTTTGCTGTCACACGCCCGCGTGACTGCCTTCACGGGAAAGTAGGCAGCCACGTGGGCCATCGCCGTCACGAAGTATCTATCGGCTCAAATGCAAGCCATTCTCACAACCAGGTGGAAAATTTCGCACAACTGGACGTCAGAGTTTGCTGCAAGACACGCGGGGCCGTGACAGAGGGGGGGAGGGGAGAGCGAGGGAATGCACGCTTGCAAGAGTCGGCCGCGATTTCCAGGGAAAGCCGGAGGAACGGCAGTTAGGTGAACGTCCCACGTGCAGGTAACTTCTCCGGCATCGTTACCTGCTTGGGGGGGGGGGGGGAGGGTGAAGTCCCAAAGATCTAACGTGTTTCCCTCCCGAAGCCTCGCAAAAAATAGAGTTTGAACTCGTGATTGTAAAACTAAATGGTGGAATTTTCACTGATCAGAACATTTAAACCAATTGTCTGCTTCTTCGCAAATGTTTGATATTATATTTCCGTTAAGTTGGCCTTTAAAGATTGCTCACAATTAACTGACGTTTTCCCGTGAGAGTTTGAGGTCAATGAGGGGGAGCTGAGGTGAGGGAGAATAATTATCAATTATACACAAGTTCGAAAAGATGATGATGAAGAGCAACAATGAGATAATTAGGCCTTCACAACCTCCCCCCCTCCTTCGTATCTCCTTCCTCCCTTTTTCCGAGAGAGAGAAATGAGTAGATGCAGCGCAGGTAAGTTCGGGGTTCGGCCGAGGACCCCCGCCTGGCCCGCCGAACAGTTTTCGCCAGGTAAGGTGTAGTACCCCGGGGCCATTTTACGTCAAGAAGTTACTTTCTTCGGAACGTCGCTCTTCCCGCCCCTCGTCGGAGAGGCGAGGGTGGCGTGCGACGGGGAGGAAAAGCGGCGCCATGGAAGATTGAATCTAATGTTCCGGGTGCGTAGAGCCGGATCGCTTCTTCCAAGACCTCAGGGTTACGCTCCGCAGTACAAGCGAGTTCGATGATGCTGGCGAAATTTTGTATTATTTTGAATTCTGTTCTGTTGTCGTTCGCCGGTAGAGCGATGTTTGTACATTTATTGGAACCCGAGGGAAATATTATTGTGAAAAAGAGAAGACGCGCATTCGAAAGCAAGTTAGCGGTAATATTGCGACGACTAAACGCGCTTTGGTACCTGCATCTAGCCTCGCACCGGGACCCAGCTCCAGCAGTCCACGGGGCGGCCACACCTGAATCCCGCGGCTCCCCGTTTTCTGAGGACTGAAGGATGACTGAAGGATAACTCTTCTGAGATGCTCGCCCGGCTCCGTTTTCTTTGATGGACTCCTGCTCTCGCTTGCTCACTCGTTTTCTCTCTCTGTCTCTGTCTCTCTCTCTCTCTCTCTCTCTCTCTCTCTCTCTCTCTCTCTCTCTCTCTCTCTCTCTCTCTCTCTCTCTCTCTCCTCTCCTCTCTCTCTCTCTCTCTCTCTCTCTCTTTCTCTCTCTCTCTCTTTCTCTCTCTCTTCTCTCTCTCTCTCCAAATCAAAATGAGAGACCTTCTTAGGGTATAGTTTTAGGTGGGGATTATCTCACGGTATTTGAAAACGATTTATTTTCATAATGTTTTACGAATCTATTTTCTTTGACGGATTCTTGTTATCTCTCTCTACATATGTATAGATAGATTGATTGATAGACAGATAGATAGCAAGGTACACGAGATATATTTTTTGTTTGTGCAAATTCCCTTGTTTTCTTTGAATGCTAATTTTGTCATATCTTTGCAGGTAAGGGTCGAATGGCATCCACCCAGAGGCGCTACGGAGGCAGAGTGATAAGTATTTATAAACATTAGGAAAAAAAAACTACTTTTCAAGCACATATTTTCACAGGGTTCTTTAAACTTCCGTGGCATGTATATCGGGAATAAAAAGAAGGTACGATTGTGTGTGTGGTAGAGAGAGAGAGAGAGAGAGAGAGAGAGAGAGAGAGAGAGAGAGAGAGAGAGAGAGAGAGAGAGAGATTTTGAAAAGAGTGAGAGAGAGAGAGAGAGATTTTACTTTGAAAAGAGCAAGAGAGAGAGAGAGACTTGACTTGATCGGTAGGCCTCGAGCAGCCTCAGCCTGAGAGAAGCGTAGTCAGGGGAGGCTGCGCCAGGTGTGCGTGGCTGGTTCTGGGAAAGAGCTGTGAGGGTCGCACTTAAGGAACCGCAGCGGCGATAAAGTCGGTGTTCCCGCTGGTGTAGGCCCGGCCAGCGATGCTATCGTGCCTGCCCACTACCACTTAAGGGTTCTCCTTTTGTTGGTTCTTCACTTTCGCGTAAGTGGGCCTATTGTCTTCCGGGAGGCGGGGATTTATTATTACGTTCCTGTGTTATTCTAATAGTTGCTTAAAAGAGGTATTCAGCAGCGTTTAATTGAGCATTGTGGTTTCGCACTGAAGGATTTATTCATAGGCCTATAAACCTGCTAGCTCCCAAGGTGGATTTTAAAAAAAAAATCAACAGAGTGTCTTCTCCCAAATCCAAATCGTGAAGGATCGGCCGTCGCGGGCGTGCCGGGGGCGTCGTGAGCGCGGTAGACCACAGGGCGAGAGAAGAGTCACTCCGCTGTGTAAAAACTGCGGCCCATACATGGCTAACGAACACGACCGCAAGATAAGTCGATCACTCCCTCGCCGCTAATTACGCCGCAACTTCCTGCCCGTTGAGATAGCTGATTAGTCCTCCTCTTGATTATCTTGGTGGACGTTTATCATGCATTAGCGGGGAAGCGGTAGCCGCGAGAATACGGCGGCCATGACAGGTTTTGTGTTCGGGTCTCGCTAAATAGACCTCCCTCATATTAGGCGCTGTTATTAATTACCCACTTACCTGTGGCATTTTAGGGCACTAACTGCTGATTAAGGTGGCCATAGGTGTATGCTAATAGTGATACAGATTTGTGTGCGAGACGTAATTGGACGCCGCGTGCGTGTGGAGGGCCGGCGGTGCGGAGGCGGCTGAAGGGATCGTCTGGTTCTCTTCGCCTTTACGTGAGCGCGCATCTATACACGGAAACACACACACACGTAAACCCATACACAAACAGGTATATACGAACACACACACTCTCACTTGCTTGCTCTCTCGCTCGCTCTCTCTTCTCTCTCTCTCTCTCTCTCTCTCTCTCTCTCTCTCTCTCTCTCTCTCTCTCTCTCTCTCTCTCTCTCTCTCTCTCTCTCTCTCTCTCTCTCTCTCTCTCTCTCTCTCTCTCTCTCTCTATATATATATATATATATATATATATATATATATATATATATATATATATTATATATATTATATATATATATATAGCACAATCACTATCACAATATATTAATATCTAACACATACACACAAAACAGTCGAACACTGCCAAGCGAGAAGAGACAAGCAAGGAAGATTGCAAGCAGGATGTTGCGTGACTGATGCTGCGCTCTTACCAACAAACGGATGGCTCTGATTACAAGATGGTCGCCCAATAATCACTGCTATCATGCACACTTGCACTTTTTTTTTTTTTTTTTGCTTTTGAGGGTGCAATTGAGATGGGAAGGAGGCGGTCTCTTGTCCCGTACCGTCGCTTTGTACCCCAGTCGCCCTTAAAGTGGTAATAAAATTAGTGAATAGTTGATTATTCTAAGTTATTGGTAAGAGGTAATTGTTTTTTTTTTTTCATGTTTTGATTATACGTAGACTTCACTGATCAGGTAACGGCGAGAGTGAATTATCCGAGATATGGCCACGGTGACGTTATCCAAATTAAGGTAAAAGGCAAGACACATGGGGACACATCCAAGGATTTGTTCTCACGGCTCCTCCTTCCTACTAAACACCCCCCCCCCCTCACCCACCCACCCACACCCTCCAGGACCATCTCCTTCTCCCGAACCCATGGTATCTCGCCCCCCTACCCCCCATGCTACCCCCACCTCCTCTGTAGTAATCTTGTGCCACCATCTCCCCCCCCCTCCTCCCTCCCTCTCTCTCTCTCTCTCACCTGCACCCCCCCCCCTTCCTCTCCCCCACACCCCCACCTCCTCGAGCCATAGTTCCCACACTCCTGACGAGTCGCACGACGAGTGATTCCCTTTAGTTGTTTTTTAAGGGGGTAACTGAAACAAATTGCCGATGCCGTGTTTACGCTGAAGGGGTACGTAAGGGTACGTAAAGAGACCGGTTTTCGCTGTAGTTGATGTGGTGTAAAGAGGGAGGGAGATGGGCGGCGGGGTTTTCTCACGGGGGAGGTGCAGCATCTCCCTTTTTTCTCTTTCTCTTTCTCTCTTTGTCTTTGTCTTTCTCGTTTTTGCTCTCGCTCTTTCTCCCTTTTTTCTCTTCTCGTTCTTGTTCGTTCGTTCTTCTTTCCCTCTCTCATGCTTTTCACATTAGTTTTCGTTTCTCATATACCCCCCTCTTCCATTCTTATTCTTATTCTCTTTCTCTCTCTCTCTCTCTCTCTCCTCTCTCTTCTCTCTCTCTCTCTCTCTCTCTCTCTCTCTCTCTCTCTCTCTCTCTCTCTCTCTCTCTCTCTCTCTCTCTCTAATGCATCGACACAAGATACTGCGGTTATGTCGAGACGAGACTTTTCAGCGTATGCAACAAAGCGCCATCAACCGCGTGCAATACCGTGCTGCGGTTGGCTAGCTCCGGGGCCTCGAGGATGAGCTGTCGGGGTCACGAGTTTTGTAGGTCCAGGTCACGGTACGGCGCGGTTGACCTTTGACCCGCGGTGAAGATGAGACTCTTTGGGCTTGGAGGAGAGTGTCGGGTGAGGGGCCGGTGCAAGGGTTCGGGTCAGGGGGAGGGAGGGGGGGCGGTACGGGTCAGGGAATACGACGACCCTCTTGGCTATTTTCGGATGACTTTTTTTTTGCAATGTTCGTATCATTAGAATAGCAAATAAAAGCGATTTACCGGCGGAGTTGTATTACTTTATCGGGTTGACCTCTGCAGTCACGTCGCCGAGGATGGTATTTGGCAGCCTCGAGTGGCATGAATTAAAGTTGCAAGGGGGTCGCCGTGGAGGACTTTCTTTTTCCCGGCGAAGGAGATGGAGCTCTCGCAGGGGCGCCTCTGGCCGTGGGAACCCTGTGCCTTGTGAGGGAAAAGGGCGGTAAGCGTGGGAACTCGAGGAACTCCAGGAGACAGCTGCAGGGATGTCAACCCCACGGGACAGTGGCGGTCGTCGCAGGTGCAACAGAAAGCGCCTCGGGGCTTCCCTGGCAGAAGGAGATTCGAAGACAGCCATTGGTAGGTCGGGATGGGGTTGTCAGACAGGAGAGCGCGTCGTGTTGAAAGGGTAATGCGAAATCCCGTAGGGTTTTGGGGGGATTTGCATTGCGGGAGTTTTGCTGGGCTGTGTGATTGAAGATATTGGATTTTATACCTTGCACACACACACACACACACACACACCACATACACATACACATACACATACATAAATATACACACACACACAGTGTGTGTGTGTGTGTGTGTGTATATATATATATATATATATATATATATATATATATATATATATATATATATATATATATACACACATACATACATACATACATACATACATACATACATACATACATACATACATACATACATACATGCACACGAAAGGCAAACTGTCCCTGTCCACTGCCTGCACGTCGCGAGGCCTTGAGGTGTGCCAGCGTCACAGGACCAAGGGTGGGGCGGGTTCTTGCGGGCGGGACCACAACACTTATGGTCTGCTGTTGGTGCCGCCCACACTGCCCCTGGGCGTGGCTACTCTAGTAAACTTTGCTTCCTTTAGATATCATCAACGGGAGTATAAGAGGGAACATAAGTGAACAATCGCAAGTAGAATAGTTTAACAAAAAAGAAAATGGGGGGGGGGGAGAGAGCGAGAGAGAGAGAGAGAGGGGAGGGGTTCACGTGAGAAAGTGGACTAAGAGAAATGGTGGATTAATATTTAGTTCGACCCGCTAGCGCCAGGGTGGTTCCCGCCCTGACCTCTAACCTCTCTCTCTCTCTTTTAAAATCTTCCTTTGTTGATTTTTTCTCCCTTTTTCTAATCTTTATCCATGGATTATCGCGTTTACCCCTATTTTTATCACGCCTTCGACCCCCCCCCCCTCTCTCTCTCTCTCTCTTCTCTCTCTCTCTCTCTCTCTCTCTCTCTCTCTCTCTCTCTCTTCTCTCTCTCTCTCTCTCTCTCTCTCTCTTACCTGCCACTCCTTTTTTACTTTCTTTTTACGATCTTCATCCATTTAACCCTTCCGCTCTCTCTCCTCTTTCTCCCTCCTTCTCCACTTTCCTTGTCTCGTTATTCTTCTCCGTATCTACCTCCTTTTCGCCCGCTCTTGACCTCTCCGTTCGACTGCATAACCGAGGCCGCACCAAACAGCGAAGTGGTAGTTTGGCCAAATGTTGCACTGGTGGAAAACAAAGCGACGAGATGTGTACTTGTAGCCAGGGTTACATACTACATTCGGGAGTTATCTGTGTTGCATCTATCGTAATGATTACAAAAAATAGAAATAAATAGAAATAGAAATAGAAATAAATCAAAGATAGGAGTAAATGTACAACAGATACAGATTTGGAGCAGGAGGTGTCGCACACAATATGGATTACTTCAGTGTATATTACTTCACAAAAGCGTCAAGTTTTGTGTCGTAACATGGGCGGGCCTCGTGTCTCCAGGGTAACTTTATTGAAAGGGATATCACGTGTAAATAAAGTAAGCAAGTATATACGAAATGATGAACTGTATACATGTGGTGATAATTTTGTATGCAATCTTTATGATCTACTCATACAGGATTCATACGCTGCTTAATGTCGAAACCAAACCTCAGATTTCATTATGAAATGGATCCCGACACATCTGCTTATCTGCAGGTCAAGGAAGAGGTGTAGGATGTTGCCAGGCCCTCGAGGTCCTCCCACGTGACCCGCCGCGTCCTGCCGTAACAAGCGGGTCCTCTGTGCTCTTATCCCGTCGCCGCCCCAGATGCCCGCCTTGTTTACTGTAACTGTCACGCCGCGTCCCTCGCCCCGGCGCGCGCTCGTTACGAGGGATTAATAGACGAGTCGTGAATATCGTTAAGGGAGGAGATAGGGGAGGTTTTAAGAGTTATTTCCATTACTGCAACGCAGCGTTTCGTGGTTGTTGATACTTGTTTGTGGCAAACACTTCGCCGTTTCTTCAACTCCGAAAGGCTTGAAAAGGAGTTCCACTCGGCCCTCAGTAATCAACACTCGTTAACCGTATATGGAGGGAACATACGCCGCCTTTCCGCGTTATGAACAGTGGTCATTATTCACCCCGTGGCTTAGGGCGATGATTGCATGCATTTCGAGCCGCGCCATACGACCATACGACTGTTACTGAGGAGCGGGCCCTGGTCAGTGTTGAGACGCGGCGCCTATCGAGTTTTCCAGGGGCACTTGAGGCTCCATCGTGCGCGGGTGTTCGGTTACCTGAGCTATGACTTCGTTTGTTTTCTCTGGCAGGAAAAGGTGATTTAGGTCTCGGGTTTATTTTAGGTCCAGCGTTATCTTCGTATCTTTTTAGACTTGTTTTTATATAAGATTGGCTTTGTTGTACTTCGAGTTATGTGTATATATATCCCATGTCTTATATACATGCTATACATATATATCCTACGTTTTAGATATATTGTTATGATCCATATTTTAATGAAAAAAACTCTTGTTAAAGTGAAATGACAAACAACGCGATTCATGTGCAAAAAAAAATGTGATTATCTCTATCAGTGTCCCGTGGTCAGTCCGAGCCTTACGCGAAATCCCCAGCAAGTACACAACGGACAGGTGAGCGAGAAGCGAGCCCCGGAGCACGTGAAGGCAGTCAGCTTGGGCGCGAGGGATAACTGAGGCCGAGTGTAGTGCCCTCAGTCACTGCCTTATCACGTAACTCCAGAAAAAATAATCTAGCCTCTCTTGCGCTGCCTTGGTTAAGTGGCGAGTTTATTTTGTTTACGTCGGGTCGGGCGAGGAAGGGCAGGAGTGGGAAGCGAGACTCTCCCCGGCGCGCCCGCGGTGACGGCTCGCCACAACACCTCTCTGTGGGGTTCTTCATTATCCGTGTAAATATTATTACCTGGCGTGTTGAACGCAGAGTACATATTTGCACAAGATAAGGGCTGACAAGAACATATGAACGGTGGAAGCTGCAGGTGTTGGTGTTTACCTAAACAACACGGGCCCCGAGTAACCCGAGTCCGCGAGGACCAATAATTCTCGAGCGTCTTGACAGATCTGCGTTTTAAGAAACCTTTTTTTTATCTTATGCCTTTTTACGGCCTGTGCTGCAACAATGTATTTTTCGGATACGTTCGTTTGCTGAATGCTTGTTACCTAGTTCGATTTTTTCATATATGGTAAAGAATAGTATGTGGACGTACCTTTTATAATTTGGTTTATTGCAAAACGTTTGCATGGATTTATCCTGCTTATTGGCAACGTTTTCCCCTTTCTTAATAGGCTTACTCTCCGCGCCTCTACGTCCGGTCTTGTGAAACTAGCGATTGTGATTTTCTCGGAAAGTTCGTGATGGGTGGCCGGGGGGGGGGGGGGGTTCGCACCTCAGACGAACAGCCTTTTACGCCTCGTCCGGGCGCTCCTCGCAGCTCTCGAGAAGTGGCTAGATGCTTCGTTATTATGGAAATCACGACCAAGCCAGTCTGTATGAATTAACAGCTCGTCCTGCCCACCTGAATTAACAAGCCTCGGTGCCCACCTCAAGGAAGGACACTCAGGTAATCCGCGATGAGTTATGGGGCCGCCCCTTCATCCCTGGCTGTGCACTAAGCCACCGCGGGGTAGCCAGGAGCACGCCCGAAAGCTGGCCCACGTGGGCGGCGGGGTCAGCGGGCCAGCGCCGGAAATACTGGAGGTGTTGCACCACGCTCGCGGGCGCCTCGGGAGGTGGGCCTCGGCTCGGCAGCGCGGGAACCTGATGCTCGCCGCAGATAACGAGATTGAGAAAAGCTGGTTCTGGCGGCGACGTCCATCTTTGGAGGTGACGACTGTTTGCGGGGATGTTTTCCGGCCGCTTCCCCGGGGCTCTGCGGCCTTGCGCTCGACACTCGCGCCGAGGAACCCGAGCGTCGACGGGGCGGGGAGGGGATGAGCGGGCGCGGGAGGACTTAAGTGGGCGTGAGAGGCACAAGAGGCACTCGTCCTTACCTTTGCTTGAAAGAGGGGTTGTGGGCGGCCGGGCGGGAGGGGGAGGGGGGGTGGAGGAGATCGTGGCGAAATCACGGCGAAGATCGAGTGCTTCACCTCGCTGCTTGTTTCTCCATTCTGCAAATTCATAGGCGTCTTAGGCTCTGAATAAACATAAAATAAACTTTATGATGTTAAAAATGTGGGGATTAAATTCAAATTAATTTTAAGCATGTTTTTGTCGTTGGCTTTTGGAGAGAGAACTTTATTTTACGTTATCATTCCCAAACAATAAGTATTTGTCATTTGCATCTTGGTAAAAAATAAGTCACCATTAACTCCTTAGCCACTCGAAGAATAAAAGAGGATGAGAGGTGATTTGCAGATTTCATTGTCTGCAGATGACTCAACAAAAGGCGGCTAAAATTCTACCATGTACGTCTCCAAAATGCGAACAAAGGGACATCCGAACATTGATCGGTTCTGCTGCAAAGCTTTCAATAATTCAGCGCGTGTAACGTCCCTGCCTTTCCCCATCCAAGTTCGGTTCGTCGTACCGTTCAGTAACTTCTTCCCGAACGCGTAGCCGGGCACTGCGCTTTCGTCAGGTAGAGTTGTGGTGTTTGTGAGTCGTTGGAGGTGCATCCACGGCGGCGGATGAATGGGCGCCTCTCTCGGGCAGGCGACGCGTGTTCACCTGTAGGACCAAGTGAATGGAAGTGAGTCAGGCTCCAGGACGCGTGGCTGGTTTCCGGGAAGTCGGTGGCCAGGTCGCCCGCCGTAGGGTAGGGGGGGCGTGTTCTGCCGGACCTTACTGTACCCTGGGGAGCCAAAAGCACTGTCAGCCACTTAGGAGAGAAATCAGATTGACATCCGTGTCATTAAAGAAAACTTAAGGAAAGGATTGGCTGCTACTTTGTTTCTTTTGGAAGAAGGATGTTCTTCCTGCGATTAATAAGGTCAGAGGATATTGGACCGGACAAGGAACACGATACCCTGTGTAGGATTCACTATCTTGACATGTGTACGCGCATGAAAGCATTACTGTTGCGCGTGAATGTAAGGGCAAAGCTTGAAGCGAGTCATATGTGGTCAGTGAGAGCCTTGCGGTACGCCAGAAGGGAGGGTTGCATGCAACTCCCAAAACGACAACTCACTCTCACCTGCTCCGCGAATTTTCGGTATCATAACCTTGGCAAATTTTTCATCCGGCCCTACAGAGGACCAATGGATGCCCATGTAGCCTCATTGTGCGGACAACACCTGCCAGGCGCGGGCAGGAAAACGGAAATGGCATGGTGGTGGTGGAGGCAGGTGCGACCAGGCCAGCCATCCTCAGGTCGCTGATGTGCAGCTCGCCCACTCACTCACCTACACTCACTCTTCCTCAGTGAGTGGTCGACTCCGCTGCCGACGGACACAGTCGCTCTCGCCGCGTGTGTGTGCTCCTCTCTGTGCGCGAATCGAGGGTAATTGAGGAGGCTTTTCCTGTGATGTGAAAGGGGTTTTTGTATTTTGTGTTGATATCGGTCTGAGAAGAAACTAGTGATATGGAAATTTTGTGATAAGGGATCCTCGGGATTAGAGAGGACATCAGTTGTTTGATATGCATTAGTGTTTCATGACAACACCATATATGCAGCCGGTCTTCGTGCTGTAAATAGCAGCTGATATTGAAAAGTTTGCCCGTATACGTTATGTTTGTGAATCAGTTGACATTACGCGAGTGCACTGCTAATTCTGAAAGAAAATATAAATATATTTCAGTGTGCCATTTTCGTGATTGGTGGCCTTTGTATATGTGTAATATATTTCGTCTATGCAGCCGATCCCAAGGTCCCATCGACGGTAAAAAAAAAAAAAACATCGTGACACAACCACAAGGAAGCAATAACGGGAACATTAATATCCGAGTGATGGAGGTCTTTCCCGACGAGCGATCTCGCTGGGTCGACGAAGGCCCTCCAATATATTCCGTGTGCTACTCCAAGGCACTCCGCTACTCCCAGGCTACTTTCGGAGATGTAAAGTGAATGTTCTCGGGCCTTGGTTACTGTTTTTTTATGTAGTCGGCAGAGGTGCACGGGTGAATGCAGCCTTGTAGTACCTGTGACTGGTCTCGTAAGGTCAATCGTCCTAGAACAATAGGTCATTATATCAGTGAACGTTGCTTTCAAGTCAAATATCCTGAACAGAAACAGTGTGTATATTATTCTACAACTCTTTAAGCCGACCTCGAAGTGTGATATCAGTGGGAGAATATGAAAAGGTCGCGTCGGAAAAAAAAAAAAAACTAAGTGAAAGGATGAAAATTGGTGTCTGAGGCGCGGCGGGGGAGGGGAGCGGAGGGAGGGAGGGAGGGAGGGAGGGTGGGTGAGTGAGGTGAATGGGGGGAGGGGAAGGGGTGGGGGACTGGGTTAGTGAACGTGTGCCCAGAGCTCGTGGCGGGAGAGAACGTTGCGTTGCAAAATATAAAATGGAGGATGGAAAGCAAATCGCGTCACGACTTCTATGCAGGGTGTGTGTGTGCTTCTAAATAACGACCGGTGGAATCGAATTTTGAAACTAATGGTTTTTGTGGTTTTGTGTTTTCTCTTTTCTAAAACAGATGTGTTAAGATGTGAAAGTATCTCCATTCATAAACATGGTCTTGTGTATGCGACTTAGAACAGAACAGTCTCGACTATGATCTCGCGAAGTGAAATTCATACGACGGTGTACTTGTGTTTACGGGTGATGCGGCTGAAGCTGCGCCTAGGCCTACCACGCTTTCGGTCTCGGCATCACTTCGTACCAAGATGATTTGTTCCACTCTCCCCGTCGTAAATTACCCTTCCGGAAACATGAACATACAAACGTTTTCCCTCCGACAAGCTCTCAAGGTGAGTTGTGGTGTCATGAGGTCGTGTTGTTGAAGTAGGCCTATGTCCCTGTGTCTGACGCCTGCTTGTAAACAACTGCGGTTTGGGTGTGTTACCCTCCTTTGCTGTTCTTTCAAATCCTCTTCTATTTCTCTATTTTTTTTCTTCTCCCCACTCTTCTCTTTCTCCCCACTCTTCTTTTTCCTCTCTCCTCTTCCCTTCCTTCATTTCTTCTCTCTCTCTCTCTCTCTCTCTCATATCCTTTTATCCGTTCTTCTCCCTTCTTTCCTTCTTCCAGAGTGTGTATGTGAGAGACAGACAGGCAGAGACAGACACAGACAGAGAGAGGGGGTAGCCGCTCTCCGTGTGTTTAGGAATTTGAGTCTTTTCCTATTAATCTTGTTATCGGCGATCTCAGGTAATCGGGGATTAAACAATTGTGCCTCGCCACGCCGATCTGTAATTTGCCGATTGAAATCCGATAAGTTTCGGGGCCCCCAAGATTTCGGACTAATGGGTGCCGTGATAACTCTAATTGGTGAGATTGTGACGTTGTATCAGCTTACAAAAAGCTTGAATTTCAGCGTCTAGATTTTTTCCTTCAAGAATTTTTTTTTTTTTTGTTGTGTGTGTGTGTGTGTGTGTGTGTGTGTGTGTGTGTGTGTGTGTGTGTGTGTGTGTGTGTGTGTGTGTGTGTGTGTGTGTGTAAGGAATGTGCCACGATCGACGCATTTAGAGATATATTTTTTATATTTCATGCGTCACTTTATGAACACAAGAAAGATACCCATATATGAGCTTTGAAACGGAAATCGGTTTAATATCCTCGGAATATGCAAATTATTACCAGGGTGATGGATTAGGAAACGGTCGGGTATCTAATTTCATATTCTGGGCTTTAGGCTTAACGCGCCGAAAGTAATTGTAGACAGGGCCTTGGAGCGAGCGTCATGCAGGGCAGAAGTGAAGCGTCGTCAGGCACATGAAGCGGGCACGGCGAAGCGGGCACGGCCACCGCACGACGCCGGTTATCGTACGTGTGGCGGCGCTGTCAAGGCAAGACAACTTTTATGGCGCGCGATTGGTGGAAAAGCGATCGTGTCTGGGCCTGATTTGTTTGATTTTATTTTCTTATGTTTTTTTTTTTTTTTTTTTGTGTGTGTGGATGTGTGGCATTTGCTTCGTGTTCGGGAAAAATGGAAATTCGGAGGCAGATGATTGATTAGTCTAGACATGCAACCTCGACGACGCAATGTATATTTTTGTCCTTGGCTGCGTTGCGTTACATTCTTCGTATGACTGACATACTCGACACCATTCATCGGAGGCTCGATAAGAAGCAGGCGAGGTAACCCACATAATTTCCCGAGTATTTCCGTTACTCGCCCGAGGCCCTTGCATCGGGGCGGGGTCGCGTCGAGCCACATCCCGGCAGGAACTCGCCACATACAACCCCACCGATTCTTTTATAATACGATATGTTGTCTATGTGGCCCCGTTATGTTGGCATCATCGGCCATCAGCCCGGGTTACTTATTGAAATGATGATGATGTCATTTTCAGGCTGAGTCAGTCCGTGCACGATCCGCATTCAAGTTGATGGTAATAAACGTTTTTAATTTGGTGAAACGTTTGTCGCGTCACCCAGCTGACCTCATTGTTGCCCGGGAGAATATTGAGTAATTTGATCCGCATTTCAACGGCGGGATTGCACCGTGATCGAATTGCAGTTAGATGCGCATTCCGATTCGTTTTTTTTTTTAACGAAAATTAGTGACACTACGTAGCGACATATGGTTTGGCCATCTTTTGTTTTCTTTCTCTTTTTTTTTATTCTTTTGACCGAGGTAATTTAGTTTCGAGAGAATGAAGATAATGATTTGGTGTTTTAACATTACAAAGACGAAGGGCGATTTCTCCATGTGGTAGATGGGGTGTTACAATAATGGCTTCGGACATTCCAAACTGGTCTACGTGTAATTACCAAAGGGGATTGTCGTGACCCCCCCTGGACCCCGGACCCCGCCCTCTGCGTACTCTCCCCTCCCCTCGGACCCCAGCTTCTCGCCCCTTCATACCCCACCCCTCTGCTCTTCTTACCCCTACCCCCCCTTTCTCTGCTTTTATGCCCCACCTCACTCCTGTCCCATACCCGCCCACCTCACCCCTCTGTCTCCTATCCACCACCTCCCCCCCCCCCCCCCCCTCCTCCCCCCCCACCCCCTACCCTCCCCTCCCCCCCCCCTCCCCCACCCTATTTCCTCGGACGCTGTGACCACCGCACTCCGGGAATGGAATGTCGCCCAAACTCCCTTTGTAGTATTTTGTGTAGGGTCTCGCATCATCCACCGAGAACTTACAAGAGTATTTGTAGCAATGCATCTGTATTGGGCGTTTGCTGTGCTCTTTTTTTTGACGTCCTTGTGGGGATCATTTGAATGCGGGTTGTCATTACAAAGGGAAATAGTTGGACGGCGACGGAATGCGCTGTTGTCTCCGATCCATCACTCGAGGGCGACATATCAGTGGTCTGCCGTCTGCTGTGTAGTCAGCCGTGATAATGTAAAATGATATCTTAAACTTGTTTTTCCTGTTCTTTTTCAGTATATAATATATATATATATATATATATATATATATATATATATATATATATATATATATATATGTATACTCTCAACATTTTCATGTAAATGGAAGGGGAGATGTGAAATAAAATAAAATAAAGTGACTGATAAATCGAGGAAATGGTGACCGTAAAATATAGGCTTTCGAGTTGTACCCGGAGGAATATTCCTGTTTTGGAATTTGTCCTTTTGGATTCCCAGGAATGTTGTGGCAGGGCGAACCGCAGGGGGGGATTGTTCGACCCTTTTGTTGGATTACCGGGGGGGGGGGGATTCCAGCAGCTGCGGGAACCCAAGTTGGAACCTTTGGGTCGCCACTCTAGAGGAAGATATTTGTATTGTAGCATTTATGTCGTTGTGACTGCCTTTACGTGTCTCATTGGAGTGTGGAATGCAGTGGCTGTGAATAGTGTTTATGCACATTCGCATATTTGTTCCATTTTGTGAGTGACATTGTTTACCAAGTCATACGTGTTACGGTTTTACGTTTTAATCTCGTTACCTATTAAGTAATAAATATTTTCCACCACGCCGCACTATACTAACTTGATTCATTTCTTCTCCGCAGGAACTCTTCTCACAGCTCCAGTACAGCCATGAGTCCGCGCTGCCGCCCGACGCGCTCCGCCGCGCCCTCGCCCAGACCTTCTACAACCAGCAGCGCTTCCAGCTGGGCTTCATGGACGACGCCGCCGAGTGCTTCGAGAACATTCTCCTGCGCATCCACTTCCACATCGCCAGCGGGGAGGCCGAGGACATGTGCAATGCCCGCCACTGCATCCCCCACCAGCGCTTCGCCATGACGCTGGTCGAGCAGAGCGTCTGCGGCGACTGCGGCGCCACGTCCGAGCCGCTGCCCTTCACGCAGATGGTGCACTACGTGTCGGCGTCGGCGCTCACCGCACAGGCCAGGCAGATGCAGGACCCCGCCGTGTCGGGCTCGCAGCCGCAGGTCGCCCTCGACATGTTCGGCCAGCTCCTGAAGAAGGCCGGAGGCATGGGAGACATCAGAGATTGCCCCGTGAGTACTTGCTGGAATTTTGCTTCGGGAGAGATAATGGATGAATGTTCCTATATATATACAGATGTAAATACAAACAGACATATGTGCTTTAATATATAAATATATAAAAACACACACATTCATACACATACATACTGTACAGATAAAGTAACAGATGTATAGATACAAACTATAATCTGTTGGTTGTGCAAGTACTATTACAATAACCATGATTTCGCTCTCGTCCCCAGAGTGCCTGCGGCGCCAAAATACAGATCTGCCGGACGCTGATGAACCGGCCCGAGATCGTGTCCATCGGCGTGGTGTGGGACTCGGAGCGGCCGACGCTGGAGCACATCATGGCCGTGTTCGCCACCGTGGGCACGACGCTTCGACTCCGCGACGTGTTCCAGAGTGTCGTCGACGACCGCTGGGCTCAGCACACGCAGCACCAGCTGGTCGGAGTCGTCACCTACTATGGAAAGCATTACTCCACTTTCTTCTATCACACGAAGCTCCGAGTGTGGATATACTTCGACGATGCGACAGTACGAGAAATTGGACCGCACTGGGAGCAGGTCGTCGACAAGTGTCGTCGCGGCCACTTCCAGCCCCTCCTGCTGCTGTATGCCAACCCCAGTGGCACTCCCGTGCCCGTCGACACGGCCCCGCGGACGGTGTCCCTCGTGCCGGGCCACCGCACCAGCAACCGCGCCGCGCAGCCTCCCCACAAAGCCTCGGCGGCAGGGGAGCCCTACTCGCAGGCCACGACCCGCCGCGCCGTCACGCCCAACCCCGAGAAGTGCGTGGACGTGGGCGGGCCGACGCCGCGGCGCGCCATCACGCCCAGCCCCGAGGTGGCGGCCCAGCGCGACGGCCACCGCGACTACCAGAACATCCACGCCGTGACGCAGGTCTACCAGGACGGCGCCGGCGAGCCCCACAGCGACGACGTGTTCGACCAGGGCACGTCCAACTACCGGCGCCAGCTGGAGAGCATCAAGCAGAGCGGCTCCGTCCTGCCCAACAAGCCCAGCATCCCCGGCCGCGGCCGACTCGACTCCGACGACTCCGTCTACGCCGGCAGGAGAAACGACTCGCAGCGGCAGGAGCGCCAGCGGTCCGTCAGCTGCAGCGGCAGCGGCTACAATCAGCACGGCAACAGGAACAGCAACTCGTCCCTCGAGCAGTTCGAGAAGGACGGCCTCAAGATGCCCGAGGGCGGAAACGTCCCTCGACGCCGCGACTCCGGCAACTGGAGCGGTGACCGCAACAGCGCGTCGTCGTCGTCGTCGACGTCGCTCGAGAACCCGTACCTGTTCATCGTGGGCAAGGCCGGCCGCCAGCCCCCCTCGCCCACCGCCAAGGCGCCGCCCAGCCCATCGCGCGGCGACCACCCCGAGTACGCCAACCTGGGCGTGGGCGTCCCCGGCCACCCGCACAACCACGCCACCAACGGGCAGCAGCCCAGCGCGGCGCCCAACGGCCAGTACGACCCCGGCTACGACTCCTACTCGCTCTCTTCGAACGACTCCTATCCAATTCAGCAGAATCTGAAGCATAACTTGCAGGTAAGAACATCCTCATCATCTGGCGTGTAATTTTTTATTACAAAAGTGAATTTCATCCTTGAATCATTGAATATTATGCCTGTATTCTAATGTCCTCTCCTGTCTCTTGCAGCAGCTTCAACAAATCCCCGAATGTGTGCAGGCTAGCGACAGCCCCGGAACGTACACGGGCGGGAGTCAGCAAGATAGCAGCAGCGTCAGCACACTGACAGAAAGCGAAGCTGGAGGAAACTGCGAGGCTTTGTGCCTGGCTGCTGACTCGCTGCTGGAGGAAGCCAGAGCGCGCGAGGAGGCTGGGGACCTTCCCGTTAGTATTCTTAGCTTTTGAGTGACACTAATTTTCACTAGTGTATTTACTGTCTGTATTCTGAATGACACTAATATGCATCAATGTATTTCCTATCAGTGTTTCGAATGATGCAAATATTAATCTGTATATTACATTCATACCGGCATATTACGGTACATTACGTTACGACTTGTTTTTTTCTGTTCGCCATTTGCTTAACGATAGACTATAACCACCTGAGTTTCGCCACAACTTCCCAAAATTCCAATCTAACCTGGCACTGTTCCCCCAGGGCGCCCTCGACCTGTGCAATGCCGCCGCGGCCAAGACCCGAGCCGCCATGGACGCCCCCTACAACAACGCCCACTCGCTGACCTTCGCGCGCATGAAGCACAACACGTGCGTCATGCGGGCGAGGTCTCTGCACCGACGCATCCTCATCCAGGAGGAGACTGCCGCTTGGGAAGGCCAATACAAAATGGGTAAGTTATTACCATGAATATCACTGCAAGTTTTTTTTTTAATGGTATACTTGAAGGAGTTGGTTTAAATATTGGTTATTGGGAAGAATGTGTGTAAGCGTGTGCGTGTGTGTACATTCAGATCGGTTTCTAATGAAGAATTTACCCACAGATGCGCCCCACCACAGTCGCCAGGGCTCGCGGGACTCCCAGCGATCCCGCACCAGCCGCCAGGGCTCGCGCGAGGGCTCCGTCCACCACAGCCGCCAGGGATCCCGTGACGCCTCCAGCGGCTCCCAGGCCAGGTCGCAGGACCAGCTGGACACGGCCGTCACCCTGGCACAGACAGCCGAGAAGTTGCAGACAACAAACATCGAAATCTATGCGACTCTGCCCAAGAAGGGAAAGAAGGCGTCGGAGAAGATGGCGAAGAAGGAGGACGTGGAAGTGCACATCGAGAAGCCGAAGGAGAAGAAGACGGTCGAGAAGACGAAGGAGAAGGCCCACAAGGACAAGAAGAGCTCCAAGTCCCGAGCCGTGGACAGCGACTACGCCAGCGACCACAGCTCCAAGAGTTCAAAGAAGGGAGCCGACAAGGACGACGTGAACGCCATCGTGGAGGTCAAGGAAGAGAAGCCGATCGGGAAGAAGCAGCACAAGGTCAGGCGGAAGCTGCTGATGGGCGGCCTCATCCGGCGCAAGAACCGCAGCATGCCGGACCTCCGCGAGGGCCAGGACGGAGAGAACCCGAAGGCGGCCACCGACGACCTGGAAGTCCGAAGCTTCTCCCGACCGACCACGCCCTCGGGGGAGAAGACCATGGCTGGCTACCTGAGCGAGGGCCACCTGGAGTACAGCAACCCTAACCTGGAGCGCAGCAAACTCATGAGGAAGAGCTTCCACGGTAGCGTCGGCAAGGGGCTGTCCCCAGCTAAGTCCGCCGCGGCCCTGAAGGTGCCTCCTCCCATTCCCCAGCGCATCAATTCCCAGCTTTCACAGAACGAAAAGAATCAAATTTCGCAGAAGAACGATAAAAATAGCCGAAAGGACGAGAAGAAGCGAGAGAAGCGGCCGCCGTATCCTCTCCCTCCCAGTGACATTGAGCCGGAGAACCCGCCCGCCCTTCCGCCTCGCTGTTATACGCCAGAGATCGTAAACAACAACAATAACAATAACATGCTGAAAACCGAACCACAGTCGCTGCCGTACATCCACACGCAAATGCAGCAGTACGATACCTACCAGACCAACTCTCTTCCTTATAACAACCCGATGTACCCGGAGCAGCATCACCAGCAGCCACCAGGTACACCGACGCAGATAACCGTGTGCGCCGACGTGCACCAGGAGGCCACTCCGAGGGAGGCCCAGCAGCAGATGACCTACCAGCAGCTGCATCACCATCAACAGCAGCAGTATGCTCAGCAGTCTCACAAACAAGAGCCGAAAATACAACAGCGACAAGACGATTTCCAGCAGCTGCATCAGCAGCAGCAACTTTATTCCAAACAGAATCAACAGAATCACGTTTCTTCATCTTGGCCCGAAATCTCGCACTCAAGACAAAGCAGTGAAGACTTTCCTCCTCCTCCTCCTCCACTGGAGGAGGCTGTGGAGGATCTGAAAATTCGGGGACTCCTCCCCCCGCCCCCACCAGAGTCCAGGGCTATACCCGAGGCCCACAGCGCCCCCGAGCCCTCGAGTCTGTTGGCTCAGCTCCAGCAGAAGCGGCAGCAGATCGTCGAGAGCAAGGACACGACTGGCGCCACGACCGATGATCGGGTGAAGCCATTGCCGTCGAAGAGCAGCGGCGATTGGCTGCATGAGCTGCAGGCCAAGCAGGCAGCCATGCGCAAGAAAATGCAAGAACAAAACGGACCCACGTCAGGGGCACAATCTGAGGTAAAAGAGAACAACAGTAATAGTGCTAAGGAAAACAATATTAATTCTGTAAGGAACTTGGCCTCCAAGTTTGAGAATGTGAGTGTGTCTACGACGAAACCAGAAGCGGGCCAAGACGAGGTCGACAGCCGTCTGGCGCCTCCTGCCCCTCAGCCCTCGCGCGAGGAAGTGACCGAGCGGCAGCGTGTTGTGAGTAAAGAAATGTTTACGAGAGAATACACCCAGTGTAACTCTTTACAATTTCCGTCCCACAGTGGACATGAGAGCAGACTTAGTTCCTCTTATCGGACACGGACCGAACACAGTGAAAGTGTTAATGCTAGTAATAAGGATAGTGTTAGTGACAGTGCCAAAGAAGATTCTGAACTTAACACAAGCACAGACACGACGTCTAGTGATGGCGCTAAAAAGAAAAAATCCAAGAAGAGTGTGACCTTCTGTGACCAAGTGGTGCTCG